ATTAAAATAAAAGATTCAGAAACCACAACTAATAAAGTATTGGGCTTAATCTCTAACTTGCTCAAACTAGGAAACTTTCCCTTGACCTATATTTTCTGAGTAAATCCATCCTTTGGAATCTGGACCTTTGTTCTTCCTTTCTTCATTGATAATGGGACCTTTTTCTATTGACAAGGAGTGCCTGCAAGATGAGATAAAATGTTTGTACTGCATGGCAGCATTTTCAAAGATGTATCTCAGTTCATTACCTTTGCCTTTCAGCTGTGTAAACCTGCATAGTTTGGGAACATTTTGTGAATACTACTGTATGTGCATGCCACTACCTTCCACGGTGTTAACCATATAACTTGCTTGTAACAGCATGTACAGTATTTAGCATTTTTACTAGATGCAAGTGTACAGTGTCATTTTTAGTGTATTTATGTGTGTCTTATTTTTCCAAAAATTTCTTATGATTGTTTATGAATACCACATTATATTGCATGCCAATTATCTTTGGCAAAAATGCTTCATAACATAATAGAAATAAAGAACTTAGTACACAGCTGGAGAAGATCACTTGAAAGTACCATACTGCCAAGTCCATATTATTAAATGGTCATGCCTGATTTATTTAGCGCTACTGTTATTTATCATTGTTTTACAGAGACATTCCGTAAGGCTTACATGACTTGCAGTTTTAATACATGTAAAATATTAAAAGTTTTTTAAAAATCACAAATCACAGTGTCATAGCAATATGTAGTTCTTCATAAAGTGCAGAAATATTGCTTACAGGTGCTGTTTGAACAGATTTGACATAAGACAGAAAAGTAGTGAGCAAGAAACTGTTTAAGTAGTTTCATAGGCATTATATGTGGATAACTGGTGAAAATAATGGAGTTGCACACCTGCCTATCTGTAGGAATTTAATTTTTAATATTCTTCTAAAAAGCATAACAACACTTCTACCTCAGCTGTAACATAAAGAAATGCAATACTTCAAAGTATTCAAAGCACTTCAAAGCAATACTTTGAATAGTAGCAGATATCGACTGTTGTCTGTTTTAGTATGTTTACCTGAGTATATACAGTAAGTGGAATAAAATAGAACTGTATGGGTAAAACTGGTCTGATTCTCTTAGTCCTAAATGATGTATTCTGATTTGCAATCAAAACAATCTTAAAGGGGAAAAAAGGAGATTTCCTTGTAAATGGAAATTCTTTCTGATAAGGAACATGTAGGTAATAATTACCTTAAAGTAATGTAAATGGGTTATGCTACTTCCTCATAGTACAGATGTTTACTTATGGCTTTGTCTAAAGCCTCAATTTACATCTCCATGAAATAGCCAAGTTACTGACAGGATCTTGTGACTCAAAGCCTAGTCATCAGGAGAAGCAACCACATATTCTAACTTAATTTTAATCAATCTTTTAATTTCCAACATCTACATTCTAGGGCAAATGTCAGTCCATGTGGTGGTTGGCATGCTGCATGATTAGTATCCTTTTGATACTCGCAACCAGGCCTTTAGTTCTGGGGAAATAAAGGAGTGTCTGAGGCTCTTTAATCCCTAGTGACCAGAGCATATGAGTATTTCATCAATCTAATATAGGCAAATTAATCTCCAATGCCATCTTTCATTTTGTCACACAGAATACTGGGATAATGAAACAACAGATGGTTACAAACAAGCTTTTTCTCAAAATTAACTAGAAAATGCCTCTGAAATGCATATTGTTGTACTAATATGGTATTAAAATACCAGTGGAAGGCAAAAGAAGATTTATCAGGTGGTACTAATAACTTAAGATGGATGTGGCATGTTAATTTCATGTCTGATGAAATGGGTAGTATCCCAGCATTGTGTACCACAGAAAACTGATTAGATTATTTCACAGGGTGGTAACTATAAAGACACGTAATGTTTTGAATTAAAAAAATATATAACCAAAGCTTAGGAAGAACAGAGAAACAGTATAAGAAAGGCAAAAAATAATTATATTGTAACAATGCTCCACCTCTTACAAATCAATCAGAAATACATGAGAATAGAAACAAATCCTCACAAGACAAAAGATAAAAGATAAAATCTACATAAATAAACTGCTATTTGCTTTTGTTGATAAACATAAAAAACCCTCTTCCAGACTGTTAGACAAACATTCTAGACATCTAAAATAGAAGTAGAATATTTAACAAAAAAAAAATTATCTCATTCTAAGAAATGAGAAATCTTGCAATTTTAACAACCACTGTAGAGTGTTGTTGCACCCTTGAGGGACTGGTGTCCTAACCAGGGGGGTGTCACATGGTCTCTAGTCTGCTTAACACTAAAGAAACTAGGATGAGCTCTGACCTGCTGAGCTTCTGTGGCTGCAGTAAGGACTTTACCTTTATTCCCTAAGAATTTCACACTGATTTAAATTGGTTCTGTATTGGTGCAATACAGTCAACATGACTATAAAATCTTTAAAAATGTACTGGAAATGATTTTGAGAATAGTTCAGCAAGTGTCTTATTGAAAACCTCTTTTCTAGTTGGTTTTAACCATCAGTATTAGTTATTAATGTGATAGGAATTGCAGTTGTCAAAATACAACTCATTGTACAGAAAATGCTGTTAATGTTCATTATGCAGTAGAAATACTGGGTCTTTCACATAGTGCAGCATACTGTAGGTTTAGAGAGGGAAACAATATTGAAAAATTAAAACAAATGCAGAGCATGTGAAAATATAATAAAGTATACATTACACCTTAGGAACAGCAAAAATGTTTAAAAATCTGTATCTACAGGTGTGGACCACACCGGTTATAAGGAATCACTGAAAGGTAATGAATTCTAAAGTAGTGTAATAAGTAATATACTGAATAGAATGGTTTATCTGCATGGTATAACATATTTGGATATTTGAGTGTTTTGACCTTGGCAAATATATTACCTTATTCAGATGGGACTATATTGGTTAGGGTTATTGTAGTTCTAAATGATGTGTTAAACTTTGCAGTCAAAACCAATTAAAAGGAAAAGGGGCCATTTTCCCTGTGAAGTATAATTGTATCCTATGATTTTTGGAAACATACTTTTTCCCAGTGCTTTGGCTGTCTTTTCATAAACTGACTTCTGAACCACTTTATAACAGTTTTAATTTCACAGTGCTTCCTGCACAGTAAGTAACCCATAGCAAATTTAGAGGTGGGTAGCTGCGTCAGCATGCGTAGGCTGCAAAGGAACAAGTAATAGGTTTATTCCATGCTGAAAAAAAGAAGAAAGAACACAACGTTTCGGCCGTGGAGCCTTCTTCAGGTGTCAGTCTTAGTAGACAGTCTACTTATGTAAAAAAGAAACTGTAAATGTCTTGGCACATGTTTAAAGTTTTTATTTCTATAATTAGATTTATGATGAAATATATATTTTTTTGCTAACAATTTGATATTCACAGCTGCTGAAAGGTTCAGGTGATCTATTATTCTTTATTATTTTAATTCTCCTCTCTTATATTATATATTACAGTACATGTATTTTATGTGCTTCTACAGTGGCTAGTTAAGTTGTATGTACCTCACATCGCCAGGTGATCTCATTTAGTTTCATATAGTGTGATTAAGAGAGTAAAATCCCAGTGTGTTTAATGGTATCTTAGAGTGTGAATTTAAACCTAAAATAAGGGATGCAGATTTCTAGGAATGCTGATGGGATACTACTTCTAAATACTAAAAGGACAAAAGTCCTATGAACATTGACAGACATTCTCACTATTTTTCAGTGCTTGTGATCCTCAAGAACAATTGCAAATATCAATTTTGTAAATATGTAAAGGTAAAAATTTTAGTAAAAACAATACAGGTGTAGTCACAGATCACAGCACTGGACCAACCATGTCCAACAATGTTCTTGACTGATATCTCCTCCAGGTACTGTACAGTATATTGAACACTCTTAAACACAAACATTAAAGCAGAATATTAAGTTTCTAGTAAACTCTATGATGTCAAACACAAAATGTGATTTTTATTATACAACTATATACAGTAGACATTTTTAAGTTGAAGAAATAAGCTTTCACATACTGTGTTGTAATAAACAGACCATGTTCACAACTACTTTCTAGCACGAAAGAGTGTTCAGTCCCCGCCCAGTGTAAATGCTATAGTTTCCTATTTAAATAAGTAAATATCAATATTGTCAGTATTCAATGCCTGTGACTGTAAAAAAAATGAACACATATTTACATTTAAAACATTTGAAGAATTAGCAGGTGATTTTTGTAACTTTGCACTTGAGAACAAACTGAAATTAATTCAGTAATCATTATTTCTTACAACAGTAATAGTAGTTTTGCCTTTATTTAATACAAGCAAAAACTATCACTTGTCAAAACTATCATTTAAAAGAGCAAAGATGCCAATTAAACCTGATGCAAATACTTTAAATGCAAAAGTTAATACTTTTAAATATTTTTATCTTATATTAAATCTTTATGATATTTTTAAACTACTGTTGTAAAAAGCAGACATTCTATGACAGCTCTGACTTTTTCGTGATTTATGTTTCTATTTTTACACATACATGATTTTTTAGAAATATAAATCGGTGTTCAAGGCCTTCTTGTGGTTTTTGTAAACTAGCCGCTTCAATTGCACTTCCCAGATCTCAATTTGATTCCTGTGCCCTAGATCGAAGTTTAAGAAACTTAAATTGTTTTAATTAAATAATCAGTCGATATTCTCAACATTATAGTATGTAAAGAAAACTCAAATTCCAAATTTGGAACTTAATATTCACGGCATATAAGTAAAACAACAGTCATTATCTTTTCCTTTAAGCATGCTACTTATCTTTATAAATATTAACTGCTATTGATATTAAAGTGGGACCCTCATTTAAAAATACACATTCTATTACATTGTTTACAAGTAAAAAGTGCGCCAAGGACCAGGTAAACATTTCAGCCACGACTTTGTAGATTACAGTGCCACTGTGCCTTTCAGCTTCTGGGCGTGGAATAGGTGTGGTACCATAGATAGGGTAGGTGTAGGTGTACAGAGTAAGTCTGTTATAGAACTCCAGACGCTGTAGGGAAGGGAAAGAAGGGGAAGTGCACACTGCATCTGGATCACATTGGGATATAGGATTAAAGCGCACTGTTGCTATTGTGGTAAAAAGGGTGAAAAGCCATTTTAACTATATCAAGAAGATACAGCTTTCAGCATGGCTAACGAGCCGCTCAGATCGGCAATGGCTAATATTGGACTGGTGGATGACACGTCTTTAGCGCTACCTTCTGATCGCAAACTGCGGTCAGGGCAACAGCGTGTTCTGGACCAGGTGCACACAATCAAGAGGAGCAAGTCCAAATATGGCTCGGGAGGACCTGTTTCTCCTACAAGTAAGAATTCGACTGCTTTTCGTCGCGCTGGGGTTCGGTTTATAGATTTTGAGTGACCATGATGTTATTCAAAAGAGTGGCGAGTAGTTTTAGGTTTGAAAGCAAAGTATTAAAAAGACGTGTGCTGTGAAAAAAATTAAAATAATTCAAATAGCATTATGTTTTAAAAAGAGAAATGGCCATAAGCTTACAGAAATGTTATCATGTAGAAAAAAGTTAAGCGTGTGCAAATCTGTTAGCATTAGAAACGGTTGT